AAAAAAAAAAAAAAAAAAAGCAAAAATAAACCATTGTTGTCATCACATTTCCACATAGGAATAAAATGGAAGGAGAATCACGCAGATTTGAAATCCACACTCCAGTTTCTGACAAGAAAAAGAAAAAGTATTCTGTACATAAGGAAAGACCTCAGAAACATTCCCACGAAATTTTCAGAGACTCCTCCCTGGTGAGTGAACAGTCTGAAATAACTAGGAGGAAAAAGAGGAAAAAAGATTTCCAGCATCTCATTTCTTCTCCTTTGAAAAAATCCAGAATCCATGATGATGCTGAAAATGCCACTGCTACGCTCAAAAAGAGAAAAAAGAGAAGATACAGTGCTTTGGAGGTGGAAGAGGAAGCAGGTGTTACAGTTGTCCTTGTGGATAAAGAAAATATTAGCAACACACCAAAGCCTTTTAGAAAGGATGTTGATGTCATTTGTGTTGATATGAGCATGGAACAGAAGTTACCAGAAGAGCCTAAAACAGACAAATTTCAGGTACTTGCTAAGTCACATACACATAAATCAGAAGCACTGCACAATAAAATTAGGGAGAAAAAGAATAAAAAGCATCGGAGGAAAGCTGCATCCTGGGATGCTGTACAGGAGAGCCAGCGGGCAATGGATGCCCTGCCTCAGTCGGAATCCCACCAGGAGGAGTCCTGGCTTTCTATGGGTCAAGGGGGTGAAATGACAGAACTACCAGCATCTGCTCATAAAAACAAGTGTAAGAAAAAAAAGAAAAAGTCCAGTAACCAGGAATATGAGACGTTGGCCATGCCTGAAGGATCGCAAGCGGGCAGTGAGGCTGAGCCTGATATGCAGGAATCCCGGCCTGCTGTGGGCTTGGATGGTGAAGCTCCAGAACTACTAGGACCTACTCACAAAAAAAAGTCTAAGAAAAAAAAGAAGAAAAAGTCCAGTTACCAGGACTCTGAGGCATTGGCCATGCCTGAAGGATCACAAGTGGGCAGCGAGGTTGGGACTGAGACGCAGGAATCCCGGCCTGCTGTGGGCCTACGTGGTGAAACTGCAGAACTACCAGCACCGGCTTATAAAAACAAGTCAAAGAAAAAAAAGAAAAAGTCCAGTCACCAGGAATTTGAGGCAATGGCCATGCCTGAGAGCCTTGAGAGTGCATACCCTGAAGGATCACAGGTGGGCCGTGAGGTTGGGATTGTGGAAGGCAGGAAGGCTCTTAAAGGGTTCAAGGAATCCAACAGTACAGAGAAGAAGTCTAAGAAAAGGAAGCTTAAGTCTGTCAAAAGGGCCGTAGCGTCTGGTGATGGTTTTTCAGTGTCCAGTAAGAACTCTGAGAGCACACTCTTTGATTCAGTAGAAGGTGATGGCGCCGTGATGGAAGAAAGTGTGAAACCCAGGCCCCGACGAAAGAAAACCCGGGCCTGTTCAGCAAGCAAGCATATGCAAGAGGTGCCAAGGTAACGTGGGAGTGGTATGCCAGCTACTGGTATATTTCTTTTGTATGGATTCTGCCCATGCCTCTTTATTTAGCACAGACTCCTTTTTTTTTTTTTTTGAGACGGAGATTTGCTCTTATTGCCCAGGCTGGAGTGCAATGGTGCGATCTCAGTTCACTGTGCCCTCCGCCTCCCGGGTTCAAGCGATTCTCCCAAGTGGCTGAGATTACAGGCATGCACCACCACACCTGGCTAATTTTGTATTTTTAGTAGACACGAGGTTTCTCCTTGTTGGTCAGGCTGGTCTCAAACTCCTGCCCTCAGGCGATCCACCCGCCTCAGCCTCTCAAAATGCTGGGATTACAGGCGTGAGGCACCGCACCTGGCCTCAGCACATACATATTAAATGGCAGAAATCATCAAGAGGTAGACCCTCAATATACCCTGGATGTACAGACTATCATACATCTTTAATTGAGTAAACTTGGCAGGTAGTTTAATTTCTTCATGTGTGAAATAAGACATTCGATTTTCACTAAGAACTATTCCAGCCCTGAAAATCTGTGAGTAAATTTAAAAGCCCAAATTACCTCTGAAAAATAGTCTGAGCA